AACCCCAACTTATTTACTTACTTACGCCTGTTACTCCTCGTGGAGAAGCATAGGACACTCACAAGCATTCTCCAACCAACTCAGTCATGGACAATACTTTCCAGTTATTTCCAGTTGCTATTCATCTTTTTCATATTTGCTTCTAATTCACAAAGTAGTATATTCTTCGATCTTCCTCTTTTCAATTCCCTTTCAGCATTGCAAGTTAAAGCTTACTTCGTGATGCAGTTTGGTGATTTCCACAATGTATGACTTATCAATGACCGACGTCTTTTCCGATTTTCCTCTTCATCTGGAAGTTGTTTAGTCTTCTCTCATAGAAGCCTGCTGCTGATGGTATCTGCCCAACAGATATTGAGTATCTTGTGTAGACAACTAATTATAAATAATTGTACATTTTTGATGATGATTGTAGTAGTTCTCCACGTTTCATCTGCATACAGTAGGATTGTTTGGATGTTCGTATTGAAGATTCTGACCTTGATATTAGTTGAAAATTGTTTTGAGTTCCATATGTTCTTCACCTATAGTAATGTGGCCCTTGCTTCGACAATCCTCGCCTTGCATCATTCTTTTTCATCGATGATACTTCCCAATGAGAAACCCTAGATAACTCTTATTTTCAAATAAAAACATAATGAACAACTTACTTTAGAAATCTAGATCGATATATATGCATATTATTAATCTTAAAATATAAGTAATGATATCAAAGTATTTATTTATCTCGAAACTGATAATGTTATCTAGGAGAACAATGAACCATCTTCCTACCAAAACTTAAGTTCATTAAGAGAAAAATAATCAATTTTATATTTCATTATGTTATAAAAACCACTAATCAATATTTCAATTAAAAAATAATTTTTTGTAAACATAGTAACTAACTTAATACTCATTGAATCCTCTTTATATATATAAATTTTTTTATTTTTCAACAAATATCTTCATATAATCTAATCTATAATACTCTTATTTACTTGATAATATTCATTTACTTTCATTGAATTAAGTGATTTCCTGAAATTTGTCGATTTTATATATTACAAAGTAAAACATTCATAAGTGGAACTATTCCCTTTTCTAATAATTAAAGTGTATAATCAGATATAAGACACACCTTGAATTTATTGATCGTCTTTGTTATAAAAATATGTAAGTGGCTATTTTTGAGTTCACTGGCATGATAATGAACAATAATGAGAAAATATGTGTTCATTTTGATAATGATTTTAATCACTAGTTGATATGAACTGATAGCCAACTGAAAATGGTAAAATACTATGCATTTATCCAATTGAGCATTATCCAGAATTATATATTAACTACTCAATACTAAAGTATAATCGATACTTTTCAAACATTCCAATTAGCCTAATATCAATGAATTGCTAAGTTATAATTCAATCGAGAATTGAATAACTTTTGAATTAGGAAATGAGAAATATTGTCACATATTTCATGATAGTGTTCACTGTTATCGATTTAAAATGATTCTAACAGAAGCATAAATCTGTATTAATTTTTAGGAGAAGTTATTCACTGGGACTACTTGTAATATTATCTTTATGTGGGCTTTTTTCATTAACTGACAGAATTTCATAAAGTAGATGGATAGTTTATAGACGATTACCTGGAACATTTACACAGATTTTCATTTTTTAAAATTATTTATTTACTTCAGTAACGAATCCTGAATAATAAAGGCTCTAATGCGAGAGAATAAATATAAGTCTTTAATTAATAACATTTCTGACAACGATAATAAGTAATTATAATCTAATAGTGTCAAGGAATGTTACCTGTCAAAGGGTTGCTAAGGCTTTTTCTGCTTAATAATTGAGAAACATATAATAGAATTCGAGGCATTTTTATAGCTAAATTAAATATATCGCGTAAAAGGTTTATCACAGCGCTGTTATTATTTCATGTCATTTTAACCTCTGTATATTTATTAGGCCTGTAAACTAAACAAAATAACCCACTACTGTTCATCAACTAATCAGTTTTCAGTTGCTCTATTCTAAAATATGGCTAGTAAAGGAATCCAGGAAGTGTGTTCTATATTCACTTGTATCATGATGATTACAGCGAGATGATCTTCAAAATATGCACACACGGCAACCGAGACTGATAAAATTTCAATCAATTTCAAAACCCACACAAACTAAATTGAAATAAATAGTTGGTTTGCTAAGTTGAATATCGTTTTTGATTCTGTATATCATTGAAAAAAGAACTTCATCTAAATTGGCCAAGCAGTAACCTCATTTACTTTTCCACTACAAACGCTACGCCTCACGTAAAAGCTTCTTATTTAGCCATTTTAGCCATTCTGCTCTCTCCTTTTAATTTGGAATTAAGAAACTAGTTAGCCGAGTCTAATACTGTTTTCTTTTGAAACCCTTATCGATTAGGCACATAAAACTATGGTATAAGTTTTTTTGACTCTAGAAAGCAGTAAGTTATTCATAGGTTAGAACATGAACTGACTTTTCTAAATGGCATGATTTTTGTACGTTTAAAAAAGCATGATTGTGAGTTTTCTATGGGGTTGAGCGTTTGCATGGAGACAAAAGTTCCTGGATTCGAGTCCTATGTGCGGGATCGTGAATGCGCAGTGCTGAGCTGACCCGTACTATGATCAAAAGCCGTTCAGTGCTTCCAAGTTCTCAATGATGGTCTAACATTGATCAGTTCATGGTATCAATATAACTACCAAAGCAGAATTAGGTTTTATGAGATCACAAACTCCTAATGCCAGTCATTTATCAAATTAACATGTACCTTAATCCACTTACTGGTATGAAGAAAGGAAACAGAAACCAAATGTTTTTCATTAAAAAACTTTTTGTAGGAATCCAAAAGATTTTGAAATTCGAACGAAATTATCTGAACTTTGTGTAATATATTGAATGAATTGATTTAAATAACACTATATTTCATAAGTATTCATCAGTATGCTCTGAATTCCCTCCCAAGACATGTCACGCACTTTCAATAAATTATTTCCTTTTAATACGGATTAATCGAGATAAATTAACCTCTCCGATATCTATTTTTCCTGCCACAACAGTTTTAGGCTTTAAAATGTAGGTCAGTTTAAAGTTATGTGAATTGGTTGAGTCTTGAGATTATTTCCCAGTCAACATCATACTAAAAGTGTTAATAGTTCCGTAAATAATACATATTAATTAACCATGATTGTTTGAAAGATCTGTGAGAACTGTAAAAAATGACAGCTGTTCATAGCCTTTATTATATATGACGATCCAGTGTCGATACAGAAAAAAGAAAACCAGATGACCATTTGTTAAAAAACTAATTAGGTTATATATACCTTTGCTTTGAAAGGAAATATACAGTCATGATTGATGGAAAATAGTATATGAATGTTGTAATTTACTACACTGATGCTTCTAGTTTCATATAACAGGAAACAGGCAGCTGACTTAGAAAACTTATGACAGTATTTTAGGAAATAATAGTAAAAAAAATGGAGTTAAGAAATGTGAAAAGTGACCTACCGATTAATTAGACACGGAATTAATATGCTTTTAGATTAAATAATGTATAGGCTAACAGTCTTTTTTTAAATAAAATGGGTAACTGATGTAAACAGAGTTACTAAACCAGCATACTATAAATGAGTTATACCGTAAGAATATATAAACTTAGTGGAATGAATCTAACGTGTACAGTTCATCAGGGGTTTATAACAAATAGCACGTATTTGTTTGAACAATTCAACAGTTATTTCTTATCTTTTTTGACTTTTAAAGTGAACATAGTTGTATGTAAGGTATTTTACCACTAATTACACTGAGTAAGGATCACATCAAGTGATCAAATTAAATAAAAATGGAAAATGTTGGCTATTTATTACCAACTACATGGCTGAATTATATATGGCTAACCCTTGGTAGTGAAACACTTTAGTTTCAACCATTACATGATGTTAGATAATAATTTCTGAAATAGGATGAACCAACTAGCCAATACTCAGGTTTTCAATCGTTCAGTAAAACTTTATATTAAGTTTTGCGTATCAATATTGTCATCTCTATCACTGTGAATTATTTTCCTTTTTTTCAACTGATTATCAAAAGGTATTAAATAAACAAGAGAGTGAATTACACGAAATTACTTAATCAGTTGTTATGAAATGAATATGTATCATTTTACATGAGCTGTATTCATCATTCAAATTAATCCAAAAAATTCTCATTATTTCTCTAAATAATTGTTTATTGTTATGTCACCAAGGTAACACTAAGTATATGATGAAGAAATCAACTTTATTTCGTTCATGCACAATGCTGACCTATTTACAAAACTAAAATAATGTTAATTTTCGTGGAATTGTATATCAAAGTATACCGTTTAAATTAATTGATAAATGTATTGTGTATTATTGTCCACTTATTTCGTATTCAATACAAAAAATTGATGTGCTTTTCACAGATTTTTCTTGTTGTCACGCTATGGTCCATTCATGAATGTTCAGGTACACTTTGGCTAAATTTAAGGGGCTTTTATTTCATTATTTACAAGTTATACAAATAGTTATTTTACGTATTAATATAAATGGATATTTTTTCCAAAGTTTTTTTTAAAATTATAGGCCTCTCTGAATGTAGAAACAGAAGCTAAGTTGACTTACATCTTACTTTTCTCATAACATCCAAAAATACAAAGTTAAGCAAGGCATTAATCAAAATGTAATAAAATTGGGAAATCATAATCAACTCAATGAAAACTTTGGCTTTCCTATCATATTCAAAATAATGATGAAGTTCTAAAAGTTTATGGATTATTAATTATTAAATGTAGCAATAATAATAGCTGTTAAAACTTTACAAAGCTTATAAAAGTAAACATTATTTGATCGACTCATTCACAATTCATAGCTTTGATCTATTATACATTTACAATGATATTTCTCTAACCAATTGTTTTGTTTCGTTTTATACAGTAGTAGTTAAGACTATTATTATTATTATTATTAGAAGCTTTATTCAACATTATATTTTTGGTACAACATAGAATTCTCGGCATAAAGTATTTCAACAAGTTTCCTTGTCTTATACCTTGATCGATTGTGACGATAAATTTTGAATGATGACCAGTTAGATGTTAGGAGTTCGGTAATCCACATTTGATTAATGTTCATTCGTTTCAATGCATATTGCCAGCCACCATGATGTCGCTGATTGTACCTTTTTGTATCACGTATAGCGAAAGGTTGTAAACTTTTCATAAACGCGCCTGAATAGATTGTGTGCACAATAGACAATGATGTGCTAAAACAAACAACAAAACAGATAACTTGATGAAATATCTAGATCGGAGGAGCAGGTAGCCCAGATATTCAAGCAGGCCGCCAAGATATTTGTTTTTAAAATTTAATTTAAATGTAATCATCTTAATGTTTCTTTTACTTTTTAAACAAAACAATATATTCACTTAGTGTTGTTTTACTTGTATCATCCTATTGTTATTTAAGATTCCAATTGATCAGTCTCATCCATATTTGCTTAACAACAATATATCGTCAAACAAAACAAATAGTTTTAATGGTTGAGATCATGAGTCAATTGAATCTAGACCACCATGGAAAACCTGGAAGCACTGAGCGGCCGTTTCGTTCTATTGTGAGACTCCTCAGTAATTAATTTTATTTCTATTAACATTATCAATAATATTAAGATACTACTATTCACCTACTTATATTCTAATTTAATCCAATAAACGTTCTTTTTTTCAATGTTTAAATTAAAATAATTTTTATTAATAATTTCTAAAATTAATTATTTATTCAGAAAAATTTATTATTTTTCTAACTATTAAATAGAAAACACCATTTTGACAATTATGTATAGAATGATATTCATTTAATGAAATTAATATTGTTTTAATGGACTACAACACAGAGTAGATGAAAAAATAAACAAATGAGAAGGCATGTAGCCTTTAATTAAACTGAGTGATATAATTCAATAAGTCACTTAAGCTTATCTCACTATCTGTTTCATAATTATCATCTACAAAATACATCAATTTATAATCTTTATAATATTCATCAAGAAAAATTATAACTGATTATAGAGCTTTACATAAAAATGTAAATGTTGTCGGTATAGAGTGAAGAGATTATCGAACTTCTTTGAAATAATGAAATAATCAATATTAGACAATCATTGAAAACCTAGAAGTATTGGACGTTTGTTTCGTCGTAGTATGGAATTCCTCACCAATGCACATCCACGGTCATGTACATGGGAACCAAGCTTACAACATTCATTCTTTCAAGCGAACTCTTCACTTCCACACCAACGAGTCAATATCCAACTGTGTCAATGTCTAACTTCAATTGATCCATGATCTTGTGCCATCCAGTAATTCCAGGTTTCCAATGATGGTCTAGTTTAGAATAACTCACGAATGCAATTTCGATAGTCGAATTAATAAATAATTGGCAGTCTAGTTAGTAATACTCAATGGATTTAAAAAAGTATATATCTACATAATTGAGCTAGTTTTAGTCAAACTATGACTATGAAGAATCTATAAAGAATTTTCAACATGTTCATAATGAGCATCAGAAGGGGTTTTGTGGAGATTGTAGTAATTTCAATAGTTGAGATTATGAGTCGATTGAAGCTAGAACACCATAGAAAGCCTGGAATTACTAGACGACCGTTTCATCTCACTGTTAGCCTCTTCAGCAGTGAGCATCCACGATCCCACCTCGCAAGATTCGAACACAGGACCTATCAGTTTGGTGCGCGAGCACTTAACCACTGACCCGACCGTCATCGAACGGTGTTAATGTCGAACTTTAACGAATCCACGAAATTGAGCGACACATCCACTACTGTCTTCAATGATTTACTATCTCACAGCAGACCCAGTTGAATTCCACTTGTCACTGCTTCTCACTAAAACTCCTGGATATACCTCTTGAAGCCAGCTACTAGTAAGCATATGTTGATAAGTATCAGAATGGGTTTTGTAGAAATTGTAGTGGTCTAGTGGTTAACCGCTCGCGCACGAGACTGATAGGTCCTGGGTCCGAATCCTGTGAGACGAGGTCGTGGATGCGCACTGCTGAGGAGTCCCAGAATAGGACGAAACGGCCGTCCAGTGCTTCCAGCTTTTCATAATTATCACCAAATCGATTAACTCTAAGTTCATAAACCATACAATGGCATGTATTGTTGCTTACAATACGCACAGATATTGGATCAACTCTTTTGAAGAATAAATAATACGGTTGACTCATAAATATAACATTCATTTTAATTTCAGTTTATTTAACTTAATTGTAATACTAAACAGCAATTACATACCAAATAGTTAAACAGTGAAAAATTCTCAGATATATGTCTGGTGTAAAAACAGTTCAATTGTTTAAGTAATACCCTTTAAAACCCTGACGATACTACTATTTAATTTGGAGAAGATTAACTGATTTCCTTTTTCTCTCTTTTATTTCGACATATATATATATATATATATATATATATATATATATATATATATATATATATATATATATATATAATTCTAATTTGTATATCAAGTAGACTTCCTCTTTATTATTCAGCATACTTTACCAATGTGTTTCGATAAAAGTTGATTGATCTAAAGATGGCTTTTGCTGTAAAATTGATATTTTATTGTTATCAACTTTTAATTTTGAGATTAATTCATCTATATTTATTTGAAAGTAATCATTTTTGTTATAGTAAGTATTAACACAATGTTGTAACGGGTGACTGCAGGTTATGCTAGGCAGCGTTTATATCGATCGCTTCTGTGACAGTGACACGTAAACACGTAAGGATGACCTAGTGCCCTGATTGGCCCTGCCCCGCTGTCTGTCCTAGCCAGTTGAGTCAAGAACACAAGTCACAGCCTCTGAGTTATGAATCATTATATTTCAAACATACTTTGTTTATATACCAATCAAGCATACCACATCGTACCATAAAATAGGAAACAACATTTGTACAATATTTAGCAAGTGAAGTAAACATCGACCAATAGGAAATGTACATTTAAAGTCCAAGGACACCATTGGACTTCATATCATAATTATTGGTCTATTTTTCCGACTATCCTAACATACAACACATACAATCATGAATAAATTGTTGTATTCCGACGAGAATTATGAGTGGTAACTTTTGAAAACTATTTATGGACTAATAAGTTAGATATTTTTATTGTATAATTGTTAGGTAGATAAACTATACATATTCGTATTCCTCTGATTATAAGCTTTATTTTGACTATTGTTATGCGATTTACTGTCCTTGACTCATGTGCAGTCTATTAATTACAGCCCCCACATTCACAGCCACCTTTAGCTAGATCTTGTACATATATTGTTTTCTATTTTGTCGTGCGATGTGGTCTATTCGATTTGTATATAAGCCCAGTATGTTTAAAATACATGATTCATATAGGGGAGGCTGGGATTGATGTTCTGGACTCAATAGACAGGGCTAGGCATAAAGATAAGGACTGTAGACTGCTCGTACAAGTTTATGCATCACTGGTCTGGTCAAGAAATCACTGTCCTATAGTTGGCGGTGTCATTACGTCATATACATTAATAGGGTACAAGAACACAAGTTATAACAAATAAATATTCATGATTATCACAATGTATCTACAATGTCTTGAACAGTTAAAAAAGTTTCGAATGATTAACATTAATTTTTGTTAGGTAAATAAAATATTTAATTCTTGGGCAATAATAATTAAATCATACAATTTTATTTAATTCATATATGATGTTTAAGCATTCATCTTTATACATATATGTGTACATTGAAGGTGATTTTCGTCACTAACTGGCGTCAGCTAGACAACCACTAAAAAACTAAAGAGTACTAAACATTTGTTTCGTTTTAGTTTATTATTCTTTATTACCATACATTCATAAATGAACAAATAATTTGACGCCTCAAAAAGTAAGTTTAATAAGTGACTGGCGACAGTTGAAGAACCAGCCAAAAGACTTTGAACATCTGTTTCATGCTGGTTTGGAACTTCTCAGTTTTATGCACCCTCATTTTCATTTATGTTTAAATGCAAAACTTCAGATCCCATGATTAGTACAGTATTTTCCCACTAATGGACCAGTATCAAATGATCCTCATTTTTTAACTTTTATTGACTTGTGATATAGTTCCACTTTTACTCAATGTTATCCATCTGCAAATATATTACTCACACCATGATAGTTTCATACTAGAATTTCGTAAAATTCATCATATATACGATCTTAGAAACTTCTTAATCAAGACAAAATAGTTGTTTAGTACTTCCTGGTTTTTTAATTACTATCTAACTAACACGTTATTGATCAAATCAATTATATACATAAATGCATATATATTGATTGATAAATCTAGTTAAAGATCACATGTATTTCATTAATTTTATTTCAGTTATGGCACACTATCCAAAGAAATAACCATACATATAACATGAACTCTAGATCATCTATTATGTGTTGATAAATAACCAGTAAAATATCAAGGATGTTTTTTAAAAACAATAAGAAAAAAATTAATAAATTGATTGATTAACTGATTGGTTGATTGACTGATTGATTGATTGATAAGGACTTAATATTACACTAAATATAATTTACATACTAGTGATAACCTATTGAGTGTAAAAATTCGAAATGATACTGAGTCATTAAAGAATACGAAACAAATTACATTTTCTATACAACCAATTATTTAATTCGTCTATGCAACGATTAACTACTGTTTCATTAAATTTTTGTATGTTCATCATTATTTGTGAAGTGTTCTTTCATGTCTCTGGTAAGAAAACGAGAGATGTATTTAGCATATAAGAAACGTGTACATACATATCCAAATATCTGGTAATATGCTATCGATGTAAATGAAAATTGTAATTGAAGTTACTAAATGGCCGATTGAATAGAAATAACTAAAAATAAGTTCTATATTACATTATATTTGATTTCATTTCTACAACTAAACGTATCCAATCTTATTTTAGGTGTACATTTTTTTAGATAAGACGTATTTAAAAGTTTATCGCTTTTTTTAAAATGATTACTTATTCTGGAAGAGGTTATCCGTCAGCGAAGTACATCCGACATTTCTTGTTCACGTAAAGTGTATTGAATAATTCTTTAAATAATGTTTCAATAATTTCTAGGTATCAGTATGGGGTTATGGAAATTATTAAGTTTAAATTAATATCATAAATGGATGAATGTTAGACCACCATTATTATTATTATTAGAAGCTTTATTCAACATTATATTTTTGGTACAACATAGAATTCTCAGCATAAAATATTTCAACAAGTTTCCTTGTCTTATACCTTGATCGATTGTGACGATAAATTTTGAATGATGACCAGTTAGATGTTAGAAGTTTGGTAATCCACATTTGATTACTGTTCATTTGTTTCAATGCATATTGCCAGCAACCATGATGTCTCTGATTGTACCTTCTTGTATCCCGTATAGCGAAAGGTTGTAAACTTTTCATAAACGCGCCTGAATAGGTTGTGCGCACAATAGACATAGTGATGTGCTAAAACAAACAACAAAACAGATAACTTGATGAAATATCTAGATCGGTGGAACAGGTAGCCCAGATATTCAAGCAGGCCGCCGTTGAAAACCTAGAACCACTGGACGGCCGTTTTGTCCTAATATGAGACTCCATTGGATGCCAACCAACTCAGTGGTTTAGAGTTTAGGCATCCATGCACGAGAACGAAGGTCCTGAGTTCGAGTCACGAGTGCGGGATCTTGGATGTGCACTACTGAGCAATCGCATACTAGGATAAAACGGCCGTCTAATGCTTTCAAATTTTTAATGGTAGTCTAACATTCATCCATTCATGATATTAATTTAAAACATTCATTGGTGAGACTATAATTTATGGACGAACCAATTGGACTTACGATAATATGTCTTGAATTTTTTACGCTAAATTCACTCATCCATTTGATTAAATATAGTTTTGGCATTCATTATAGCTGATGTCAATTCATGATGAAAACCCTATCTCTGATTCCTAATACTAACCATCAACTATAAATATTAATCCTAATTCCTTACGCTGGTTTACAACCCTCGTTTATTAGCCGTAGTATATAGGTGGATATTCTCAAGGCCAGTTTAGCGTCGCTCAAAGGTCATCATCCATAAATTATAGTTTCACCCATTCATTAAAAATACTTTATTTATCCATAAAATGAATGAAGAGTAAAGAATGTGTTATAAAACCACAATTGAACAATCTTATACTTTATATATTATCTTATCTATAAATTGATTCATTTAAATAAAGTATTCAATAACAAAATTATATTTTTCATTTAATTTATGAAATATCATCAACTTATTGACAAAATCAAAATAAACAAATAAACAATTCAAATGAATGAATAAGTTTAAACATATAATTTTACTATTTAAAATGAGTTCAAATTTTAATTATTGATTTGCGCTTAAATTAGTTTAAATTTTAAAAAAATATTCAATTATTCAATATGATTATACTTATTGATTTACTTACTTACGCCTGTTACTCCTTGTGGAGAAGCATAGGACACTCACAAGCATTCTCCAACCAACTCAGTCATGGACAATACTTTCCAGTTATTTCCAGTTGCTATTCATCTTTTTCATATTTGCTTCTAATTCACAAAGTAGTATATTCTTCGATCTTCCTCTTTTCAATTCCCTTTCAGCATTGCAAGTTAAAGCTTACTTCGTGATGCAGTTTGGTGATTTCCACAATGTATATCTTATCCATGACCAACGTCTTTTCCGATTTTCCTCTTCATCTGGAAGTTTTTTTGTCCTCTCTCATAGAAGCCTATTGCTGATGGTATCTGCCCAACAGATATTGAGTATCCTATGTAGACAACTAATTATAAATAATTGTACATTTTTGATGATGGTTATGATAATTCTCCACGTTTCATCTGCATACAGTAGGATTGTTTTGACGTTCGTATTGAAGATTCTGACCTTGATATTAGTTGAAAATTGTTTTGAGTTCCATATGTTCTTCATCTATAGTAATGTGGCCCTTGCTTCGACAATCCTCGCCTTTACGTCTGCATCGGATCCTCCTTGTTCATCGATGATGCTTCCCAGGCACGTGAAATTTTCTCATTTTTGTCTTTATTCAAGAATAAATGATTTAGATCCATTTAAAGGTGATTGGATGAAATTCAGATACTCAAAGATGATATGATCAAAATAAGTAAGATTAGTATAAATCGAATTTAAGTATGACACTGAATAAAGTTTTAGATAAAACTGAATGTCTGCATACTGAGCTGGTAATGATACACTAACATATATGCTTATAATTTACAACAACGAAATAATTTTTAGTTTGGGGTTGTAAGGATTGTTGAGTTTCATTGAAATCATCAACCAATCGATGTCAGACAACCGTTCAAAACCTGAAAGCATTGGACGGACGTTTTGTCCTAGTAAAGGACTCCTAAACGGTGCACATCTACTATCCCGGACATGGGGATCGAAATCAAGTCCTCCATTCTTACGCACGGACCATTGAGCCAGCATGAAGGATCGTGGATGCACTCCTTTGAGGAGTTACATGCTGGGAAGAAATGGCCATCCAGTGCTTGCATGTTCTCAATGGTTGTCTAACATTGATCGGTCCATGATTTCAACGAAATTAAATAATACTCATCGAGCATTTGCGCTAAGTAATAACTATATGATGACACATTAATAATAAAGTGATATTTATGATCAATGTGTCATTGGATAATTGTTACGTAAAGCAAATGGTCGATGAGTATTATTTCATTGGTGTAAGCTATACATACATAGTGAAAAACTAATTGAAGAGAAATTTCTTCACTCGATCCGTTCTTTTTACTGCGTCCGGTGTAAAAAAGAGATAAGAAAATAAATACAGTAATAAAAACACAATAGTTTACATGGAATTTACAAGAGATTTTTCTAGTATCTTCTTGATTGATCTACTAGCAACGACTAATGTCAGCTTGCATTGAACATGCAGCTTCAGGATTCTATCCTGCTAATAGTCTATTATATCAATTAGCTTGATATTACCTCCACTTCTGGGACCGAACGGCACTTAAATACGTATTAATAATTAAGTTTGGAAAAGGATTCATATATATCTTACTGATAGTGCTTTGATAAGGAAATGAAAATATTAATAATGCACTTTTTATAAATAATCCAATACTGTATATACATCTGTAAAACAATAGAAATGTCACGTTAAAAGTTTTTCATTCGAACACTACTTAAATTTACTTAGTAGAAGCTCACTTTATAACATAAAAAACAAACGAAGCAAGATGGACATGAATTACTGAATATTACACATTTAGTTTTAATAATATATTCTCATTTACTCCCTAATTATTCATTATGTAAACATCAAATTCATTTACTTAACAGTATGTAAATAAAAATCATGTACATTTACTCCTCATCACTTGATATTTTATCAGATTGCAAAATTTTGAAGAAAACAGTAAGTGTCATTGTATAAGAGAAAGAGAATTCAGCAAAGAAAATCTTCTTTTCGACGAAATCCTTTACTTAAGCTGTACATTCATATATATATATATATATATATATATAGTTATATGGAAAATATATGTCTATAGGAGGATAGGAAAGATTGCATCATAAAATGGATTAGAGACTAAATAACAAATTAGGCTACATACTAATCAAAAGGTAAGGAAGAAAATAATTTACGTGTCAGATAATTGTCCAATTAACAGATATGAAGAAAAAACGACAAACATGATGATCTCGAATCCATTTTATGATGCAAACTTTTCTATCCTTCTATAGACAAATATTTTCTTCTGAAAAGAGCAAAAACAAGCATTCTAACATAATAGTATGAATTCATTTCATTTCGTTGGTTCTCTTCAGCTGCTTACAATCTGCGATATTTAAAATCATAATTACATAATGGGTTTAAATTACTTACATGAAAGAGTTTGATTGGAAGTTATATTGAAGACATATCAGTATATTAAAGCAAGGGTGTATTAAATTAAAAACGGTCTGTTAAATTTATTTACGCCCTTGCTATACTATACTAATATGTCTTCAACATAATTTCCAACTAAACCCTCTCATGTAAGTAATTTAAACCCATTACGTAATTAAGTACTGCAGTCCCACAATAGGACGTAACGGCCGTCCAGTGCTTCCAGGTTTCCAACGGTGGTCTAACATCAATCAGTTCATAATCTTCATCAAAAACTTAATATTCAATGTCAATTAAATACAAACTTTGAAAAGTAGTTCATTAAGTCAGATAGAGTCAAAAATCAAATTACATAAATCAAATTAACACAATTCACTAATATTATATTGCCTGAAAATTTTAAAATAATATCCTTCGTTTCTTATTACTTATCACCCAAACATTTATACAATCTTGTCAAAGTGAATTATTCTATTCAGATATTCCATTACATATCATTATTATTTTCTAATTAAAGATCTAATCTTATTAAACTACTATAATTATGAATGAATTTGACCAAAACAAAATTTTTTTAAAAAAAATCTATGTAAATGAATAGATTACAGGATGTTAATAAGTAGTACGATTTCAATAGTTAATTGTCTACAATAACAATTAAAAATATTATTGTATTCAATCAAGTGGAAATATAATGAGCATTCAAACAGTCTTTAATTACTTTTCTATTCTTTCTGAGAACTTATCTATTATCTGAGATGTTACATAATAACTTTTATTTCTATTATTTTAACTGTGATTTTCATGTTTTTACTTACCTACTGAATAAATTGAAAAAAATTTTCTTTTATTTTTAGAAAAAAAAAGAAATAACGTTTTTTTTTCAATGAACCATTCTTGATATGAACACTTTTAAACAGAATTGTGAAAAAAGCTATCAAGAAAATCATTAATGTAACACTATTATTCTCTGTTTAAAAAGCAGTGACTGGTGGAGTTCAACTGGCTCTGTTGTCTGAAAATGTAAATAGGACAGATGCTCTTAGGGAAATAAGATGTCGCTCTATTCAATAAACATTCCTCAAAAAGTACTTAGATGATATTACTCACAAACGTGCAGTTAATCTCTACAATTTAAGGCATTATTACCAAAATTTCTAGAAATGATAAATTTATGGATGCCAGGACTGTAAAAGACCAAAGGAAATTAATATCAGTAATAACAGTAAAACTAACTGAAGTTTAATCAAATACACATTCTCCTTGCTTAGCAACTGTTCCTTGAATTCAATAAGATGGGGACGTTAGTCCTAATCCATAGACTCCCAAGCATAAACCACTCAAGCTGAATAGTGAGAATTTTAAATCAAGTAGATCCATTATGTAACTATCTCCTTAACTCTAACTTTAACCCAGCAATTTTTACCTTATTCTTTCTGATTTATGGCTCAGCGATCTTGTCGAGTTACTGATGGCACACCTCCCAATGTCAACAAGTAGCCATTTTTTTTAAATAAAATGCGCTGTTTTACTCGAAAATAATTAAGTAGTGTAATTTATAAGCAGAAATTTCACACCCCGACTTCAACTGTGATTCATGACTGAAAGCAAAAAATGTTGATTCGTAAACTTTTGCAAATGAATCCTCAAAGTACATAATACTGAATCATAAATAAATGTCAGTCAGTGGAAGATAACTAAAATGTAAGCTTAAAACTCATAGTATGAAAAGTGTTACTCACTTTTTCGCCATGAGAACATCATGACATTAAAAAATAACGTATCTCTAGTTGTTGGCGAATAAAATATTTCATCAATCTTACAAAAGATACTGTGGTGCATGCTACTTATGTCTGTCGACGTAAGTATTGTGCAATACCAACCAGAAGTAAAATGCCTGGCAACAGAAGGTTGAACAGATTGAACTGAAGAAAACACAGGGAAACATCAAGGAATTGAGAAATGTAAGAATCATGAAGAATGTAAAGGAAAATTCGTGGAGGATTCGCAAATGAAGTACCTTATATATGGTTTCCTTATTTTGCGGAAGAGCTCTGTAATTTTGCGTTGAAGAATAAATTGGTTTTCCCCACTCGAGTGTTCGTTCACTACGATATGAAATTAACAATATAATTAAAACAGATTATAGTTGGAGTAACTGATTACTATAGACTAAAATTATTCACAATTGATCCTTACTATATACATATATTTACAATGAAATTTGCAAAAAAAATATCGTGAAAATCTATCTCGCTTTTCCAATTACACAGTCCAGTTTTAAATCTCAACAACTTGAATGAATTGAATATACTTGCAGAATCAAGTTTATTCGAGTAACGTTTGGTTATATGACGATATTTATGTTAGGCAAATTGTTAAGTGAAATACATCCCACAGGCATAGGAAAAGCATGAGTAATATAGAACACAACAGATAATAGTTTATGGTTTGCATGACACAAAAGTGAAAAAAGGACATAGAACCCATAGTTTATGAATTATTTTGATATTCCGAACTCATAACCATGACCAATAGCTTATATCCATGTGTTCAAATAACAGGCGAGCAGGCATAATGGGGCAACTTGTTCGCCTTTGACAAATGTATGTCAACTTTATTGTATGCAACATATTAAAGTACCTATCCCAGAACACTTAAACTGAACAGGAATAATTGTTGTATAATCTTACAGACATAGAAAATTACCACTTATACGGAAAGACAGTACGATAGTACTCAGTTATAGGTATATGCAAGATAATGCTGTTAGTGGTAGATTCTTATAAAAGGTATTTAGATTAGATGGATTCCCTTTAACTAACGTAATCAAGCCAATATCAAATATTTTTAATCACTAGCGTGCCTCAACGGGTTATTCATACAAAGGTTGAAGAGAGCTAAGAGTGAAGTGACCAAAGGTATAGTAC